AGTCTTTACCAATGAATTGAATAAACTTACCAAAATTAACAATAACTTGGAATCTAACATATCTAGAATTATCTTCAATAAACTGAATAATATATTCTAATACTTTTGATTTATTATTAATAAATATATTAAGAATTTGATTTAATACAACAACACATGTTTTTCTAACTGAATAAACTGAGTCTTTTGATAACTCATCAAATATTGAAAGTACTTCTGGAATATCTTCTTCTTCAATATTTGATAATATTGCTGGGAATGTAGTAACAGCTCCTTTTCTCATGACAAATTGAATACTTTGTGACATTTTCTTTAATCTATTAAAAATAAATTTTTTTACATTTTCTTTTGATGATTTAGCTGCAAAATAAATAAGTAAATCAAGTCCTATTGAACTTATAAATCCATCTACATTTCCTATTAATGAGTCTACTTGGTCTAAATACTCTTCAATTTCTTTATCTTCATTTAAATATTCTCCTAATTTCTTCATTACATCTTTTGCTGCTAATGCTATTTCTTCTGTTTCATCTTTTACTAATTCTTTCATTAATCCATATAATTCATTATATAAACTAATATTTTCTGAATGACACTTTTCAATAAAGAAAATCAGTTGTTGAATACCAATAACTTTAATACTAACTGTTTCTTCTTTTTCTATCTCTTTAACTAACTTACTTAAAAATTCTTTGCATTGGGTTGGACTAAACAAAAATCGTGCTGCTTCTCCTGTTTTCCTAATGGATGGAAGTCGTTTATTTGCATCTTCTAAATTACAAAAAGAGTCAAAGTCATTGATAAATTTCTCTCCATTAATCAGTTCAATATCTTCACTAGCAATAGGCTTTGGAATAGATCTAAACTCCATCTTCTGTAAGAATGAAAAATTTTAAGTTCCAACGTTTTGATTAAAAAATTTTAATTAGATCTTGTTTTATATAACAAAAAGATCAATCATCATCAACATCTATTACATCTCCAATAGATTGTGGTACATTTGTTCCAAACCAATCAATGTCTTCACTGTTGTAGTCTTCTACAAATTCTCCTTCATCTTCATCTTCTAAATTTAATTCATATCGAAGAATAGCAACAATACCTCCAAGTCTCATAACTTCACATCCAGCCTCTGTTTTTGAACTGAGCATTCTAACCAGAATATTTTTTTGACGTGACTCTTCGATTAAACAACTAATCTTTAATCTTCTTTCAATAGTACATATTTTAGTTAATTCATCAGCAACAAATAACTCTTTTAAAGCATTCATCTCATTAGCTTTAGTTACATCTTCATACCCAATAGCAACAAGATGTTCTGACTTTAACATAGTTTCATTAAATTTATTAACACAATTCATATCTTTATAACTCTTACAGTCATCAAGAATATTTGAAAGATTTGGATCACTAAGAACATCTCTTACAACAAATAATATTCCATTTGTTGCTGATGCAGGAACAATACGTTCAATTCCACTTTGAATTTGTGGGTTTTTCATTCTTTTAGCAGTATTCATTAATGATTTAATTAAAGCATTTCTTTCAGTAAAATTACCAGCAACAACCAGGGCAATAATATCATCAAAATTAACATTTTTAACAATCATATCATAAATTTGATTATAAAATTTTTCTGTCTGATTGTCATGTTTAAAACTAATGTTTTTCCTTTTAGGAATATTTACTTCAATACTCTCTTTCTCTTTTACACTTGTGTTTGAAACAAACCATAATTTAGCTATTCCTCCATCTAATCCTAATATAACTAAATGACTTTTAAATGTTTCATTTGCTGCTTCGTGCATACGAACAAAATCCATTGCATCCCAATGAGCTTTATATAAACTAATTGTATCTCCAATAGCAACATGTAAAGTATGATATCTTCCTGTTTGTACTTTAGGATTATTACAATGAAGTATTAATCCAGAAATAGCAATGGTTGTACCGTATTCTATTCTTTCTACTTTTATTCTAATTACCGCTTTAACTTTGTTTGTAACAGTTGACCCTGTTTTAGCAGTTTGAGTAACTTTTCTTGTAGTTTGTCCAGTGACTTCACATCCAAGTTCTAACAATTGATAAAAAATAAATAGGTCATCTTCATCTTCGATTTCAAACTTAGAAACATTGTCACTGTTTACTTCATATACTATCTTCATTTCTTTTTTTTTAGTTTTTTTCTTTTTAATTTAATAATTATAAAAACAAAAAAGTTTATAATAACATTTTTTTATTTGTCTTTTATCAACTAATTCATCTAAAACTATACTACTTTTATATAAGACAATTACTAGCCTTTGTTCTTTTTCTTTATACCTCTTACACTATAAAAAGCTCTTATAAGTGTTAGAATAAAAATAATTATTTTCCTTTCTTATTATTAATTCCTTAACTAAAAATAAAATAAAAAAAAGGAATTTAAGAAATAATAAGAATATGAATGAATTAAAATAAGTAAAAAAGAATTAATTTAAAGTAAAGAATTTTAAAAGTTTTCTTTCATTTAAATGAGTGGGTGATGGAGTAATAATGATTTCATCAAGTTTTCTTTTAAAAATCATTTCAGGAGAAGTTTCGTTATAAAAAGAATAATATTTATCTAATTTTTGGTATTTTAAAGTGTTATTAAATTTATGAGAAGTGATTGTATTTAACATTTCTTTAAATTCTTCATCAGTTGAACATAATTTTCTTATAACAAATAATTGTTCTTTAATTTTATAATGAGGGTCTTTTAATCTTTCAGCTTGAACTTTAATTTGATTTAATATTGTACTTGCTTCACTTATTGATAATTCAAATATTCCAAGTGCATCGAATTGAACAATAATTTCAAATGGATACATTTGAAAAAATTTAACATTTACTTCACAATAGTCTTCTTCTTTTTCTAAAGCAAGTTCTTTATAAACTTTATTCATACAACCATTAAAGAAGATTGTTTCAAAGATCATTCTTTCTTCATTAAGATTAGCAATTGTTTCATTAAATTTCTTTCTAATAGCACGTAAAATTTCTTCTAATTTATTAAAATAAGAATCAACAAATGGTTTATAATCTAATTTCTTTTTAGAAAACATTTCAATAATATTACACATTTTTGATTTCCATTGATCTTTTGATAAAAGAATTCCATTTGTTGCAGATTTCATAAATGGTAATAAAGTGGAATATTTTGATGATTCAAATCTTTCATGAGGAAATGGTAATCTATAAATTCCTTCATTATTTACAGTACGACATAATAAATTACGATAAATTGAATTTTCATTTACAAGAACAAAATTACCTAATTGAAAAATAATATTTTTTATAATTTGTTCAGTTGTTGGATTATTAAAATTAATATAACAAAATGGATTAATTCCTCCTTTAGGATAAAATCCATGAGATAAAAATGTATAATTAATTATAGGATCATTAATATAATTAAAGAAAATTTCATTTAATCCAATTAATTTTAAATCTAATGTATGTGTATCTATACTAACTATTTTTCTTCCTCCATTCATTCTTTTTTCTCCAATTGAAGAAATAGTATTAAGTTGATTTGTTTTTGTATTAATAAATATGTATTGTAAATTAGTAGTATTTAATACTATTACTTGTTGGTTACTAATAATAAAAAATAATTCAAATCCATAAAAAACATTTATATATTTATCTTCTTCACTCCAATCTTCATAAATACATTCAAATTCTTTTGAATTTAGTTTTGTAATTAAGATAATACAATAATTCTTACTTAAACAAATAATAAATAAATTATCTAAAATACATTTATTCATTATAACTGCTCCTCCACCTAATTTTTCATTCCCAAGTTGATTTGATTGTTGATTTATTGTAATTGGAAATGAATATTTATCTAATCCACTACAACTAATTTGTTCTAATGCACTATTAGAACATTTAACATGAAGTGCAATTTTATATTGTTGATATAATACCATAAACTTTTCATAATATTGACTATTTTTAATATTAATTTTCTCTATTTTATCACTTTCTACCATCCCATTTGGTATTCTTGAAATTTCACTTAATGTAAATAAATAAATATATCCATTATATCCACAAATAAAACAATATGTTCCACGATATCTTGATGAAATTGTTAAAATTTCATTTTTCCTAATATTTCTTTGATTAACTTTAACTAATTTAACCCAACTACTTGATAATAAATAAAAATTATTTTTTGATTCTTCTTCAATTGATTGAACTGTAAAATATTCTTCAATAGGTTGTGTTGATATTTGTATTTCAACTGCTTCATATGAAGCTTTATTTCCTGTACAAAATAATGTATATCTAGAAGAATTAGAATTAATCATTTTAAGAACATATAAAATACAATCTTTATCTTTATTCCATGCAACTGAAATAATTTTAAAATTTGATGGTAAAATAGAATAATATCTTTCTCCTTCAAATTTCCCTTTAAGTGGTTGAAAATAAAATTTAATTTGATACTCATTCTTTTTTATTCCTTTTTTTTTACTTGCATAAAACATTGTTATATCACTTTGTTTACTTGTTCCAAAGAAATGAATAATATAATTAGTATTTTTTTCTTTTGTAAATTTATTAAATACTTCTTTTATACTTCCTTGTTCATCTATTTCTCCATATAATTTAAATAATGATTCTTCTTCTTTTGCCATTTTATCTTTTCTTCTTATTTAAGTTCTTTTTCTATGATTTTTCCTTTTGTTTTTTTTTTTACTAATAACTTTCAATTTAATATACCTGAGATTGTAGACAAATAGAAAATGATTAACATTAATCTATTATATCTATATTATTATTATGTTTATATCATTTATTTCTATTAAAAATAAGAAGAGTAATAAATATAAATATCTTTTATTATTAAACATTAGATTATCACATTATTTATCTTATATACTTATATGTTTGTATATTTTTATTGAATAATTATGAATATTGACATTATGATAATATTATATTATCTAAACCATTACTTTTCTCTAAAAATTATTTTAGTAAAAAAAGGCATATGATTAGTTTTTTTTTTTTTTTATGTTTATTAGATAAGAAGAAAAAAGAGAAAAAAAAATTATAAAAAAAAAAAAGGAATTATAAAAATAGAATTAAAATTTAGAAACGAAAAATTAAAAACCTAAAAAGAAAAAAAGAGAAAAAAAAAAGAAAAATAGTAAAATTAAAAGTAAAAAAATTAAAAAGAAGATAATAAAACATAAAAGTACAAAGAAGAGAATTGTTATTCGAGTTCTTATTTAAAGATCAATGACAACGAAAATGAACACAGCACAAATTGATTTTGATCAACAACATATTGAACCACAAGAAATTGATTTAGAAGGTGATATGAGAGAAATTCAAACTACTGCACCACCTCCACCTCAACAAGAACATCAAATAAACCAAATGAATAATTCAGGAATTCCAAGTGCTAATTTAAATCATCAAATAGTCCAACAAATAAATGGAGAACTTCCACCAGAAATTGGTCATTTAGATGGAGAAATTCAAATAGGACAAGAAATGACACCAGAATTATACCAAATACGTATGCAAATGTTAGCTACAGGAATTGAAATGCAACCTATTTTACCAGGTTGTCCAGAAATAGATGAACAAGCACAATATATTACTCAAATCCAAACAATAGAATTTAAACCAAAACAAGCTAATAAAAAAGAAATGGTAAAAGATAAAGATGGAGTATTATATTATTGTTATACATATACAGTTAAAAATAAAGATGGTCAAGATCATATGCAAAGAGTATATATGAAAAAACAAACAAATAAAATTAAACCACCTAAAATTTGTGAAGAAAAAATTGATGATGGAAGAGTTGTTGTTATTGAAAAAGAAAGAAAACTTACTAAACAACATGAATTATTACTTACTTTTATTCAAACACATGAAGAACCAATAAAATTATATAATAAATTTGTTGTTTCAAGAGTATTACAAGATTTTAAAAGAGAATATCCTGAAATTAAAATTTCTTATGGTTTAGTTAAAAAAGTATTAGAACAACAAGGACTTCTTCCTCCTAAAAAAACATATTACAAACTTGAATAAAATGATTTTTAGAATTAATATTCTTTTCTTGTTTTTTATTCTTTTTCTTTTGAGATTATGTATGTTTAATATAATAAAATATAAACAAACATATAAATTAATTTTGACGGTAAATCCAAGATAAGTAATTATTATAATAATTAAATAAAGAAGAATATAAATTCATTTCTTTTGAATGATCTTGTTCTGTTAGAGAGATTTGATTAAGAAGATCTTGTCTTGTTATTTTTGCTGATTGAAGTTTTGATAACAAAGAATCATAGAAGGTGTCAGAATCTTGTGATGCTAAATTAGATGGAGTTTCTGTACAAAATCCACACATTAAAGAACGACGAAGTGCAACATACTGGTGAAGCAGATCCAAATCTATTTGATCTGATGGTTCCATAAGAAATGAATATAAAGAGTTCCTAAAATTTTTATAACTTTGGTTAAAATTAGAAGAGAATAGTATTAAGTTGAAGAAAGTGATTCTATTTCTGTAATGTTCATAACTGGAATAACAGAACTACTTTGTCATATTTTGAAAATCATTTAAGAAATCTATTTATTTATTGAAGAATCAAAGTAGAAAATAAAATATTGTACTGAGTCATTTTTTTTTTTTATTCTAATTAGAATTTGATAATTTAAAGAAGTAGAAAAGTGGTGAAATTTTCTTTTTAAAGAGTATTTCTTTTCCTTGAAAATAAAAGAATAATTGTTATGTAGTGGATATGTTGTAAATAAAAAGAAATTAATTAAGATTATTTATATTTAGAAGAAATTCTTATTTCTTTTGATATTCTTTCTCTTAGAAAAAAAAATACGTAAAATATTTATATATACTTAATTCAATTAATTGATATGTTAGTAATCTTCTTTTATTTCTGGTAAATAAGAAGAATGAGGTTCTAACTCATTTTTTATATCAAGATCTATAACTTGAACAATGTTTCTTTGGTTTTCTTCTTTGATTATATCAATCAATTCTTTAACTAATGTTGTTATAATTTGTTTCTGTTCTTGTATTTGGTTATTTAATAATATTACCTTTTTTTCTTCTTCATTAAAATTGTTAAATATTACCTTATCAACAATAAGATATGTTCTATTATCAATTTCTTTGATTATTCCTTGATCAATTGGTATTTTAATCCACATATTTGTTTCTTTTGTACCAAATACCTTCTTCTGAATTATTTTATCAATTATTTGAACAATTTCATTACTATCTTTGTTGTCTTTTATTACCCATTTCCAAATATTATTTTTGTTGATATTATAATCATTCATTTCTCTCCCTTCTTTCTCAAGATTTCTTTTCAATTATAAAATCTTCTTTCGTTTCTGGATTTTATTACTTTCCTTTTAGTGAGAATTTACATAAAAATAACTGACTAAATAGAAAACAATACAATTATACCTTAACTTCAAGCTTTTCAAAGACTGCCAATTGTCTTTTTTCTGCTAATGATTTTCCTATTCTTTCTGCTAGTTGAATCCATTCTTTAACTTCCTCATTCCATTGAAGATTCATTATAGTATCTTTTTGTTTATTCTTACCAACATGTGCAATGATAATCTCTTTTCCTTTTTCAAATTGTAATCCAGTATTTCTCTTTACTCCAGTAAATCCCTCCTTTGAAACAATTTTTGATAACACATCAAATATTTTAAGAATATTAGTGTCTGTCTTTAAAACAGCAGAACATCTTCTTTCATTTTCACTAATCTCAAAATTTGTGTCAAAAGCAAATTGATTAAATTCAACATAATTAAGTTGTTTGAGTTGTTTCGGTATTTTTTGTTCTGTTTCTTTCAATAACCCATATTTCTCTAACGATTCTCCAAATACTCTAATAATTGGGGATACGATGACATTATCATCAGTTTCATGAAATACAATAATAAGAACATCACTTTCTTTTGTTTTTCCAAAAGTAAGTCGTGCATAAAAATAATTTGAAGGGAGTATAGCAATAATTGATCCATGTGTTTTACAAATTGTGTAATTCTCAAAATCAAATGTTTCATAAAATAATTGATGAATAAATTCTTTATTAATAGGTTGATTAAGTTCACATATCCAAGATGTTTTAGAAATAAACTTAGTATGTTGTTCTAAAGGAGTATTTTTTTTGAAAAACCAACTGAACATTAATTTATTTTGAATATAATTAATAGTTCTTCTTTTCCTTTTTTCTTTAATTCTTTTCTGTTAAATAACTTAGAAAAGTATCTTGAAAATAATAATATCAAGATGGAATGGTGTATTGAGAAAACAAGAAATATAATTGCTATTCTTACAAAAATTAAAAATGATAATAAGACATTATATCATAATCTTGACTCAAAAGGTAAAATTTTGATTTATATTCCAATAATTCTTGTTATAGGAATGATTATATTTAGTCCTATAATTAATAGAATAGATAAAAGTATTATTAATCAACAAGAAAATTCAACACTTAAACCATATTTAATTGAACGTGATAAAATAATAGTATTTAATATTATTCTTCTCAGTACTTGTTTTGTTATTGTCAATTATTATTCTATTCTTCACCAAATAAGTATTGGATTTATGTTAAATTGGCAAATCATTGGAGTGGAATTAGTGTTAATGTCTTTGAAAATGAAAAGATTAACATTAAATATTGATATATTTATCATTACATTTATTGCCACTTTATTTGCTTTAAATATTGCTCTTAGAAAATATTTTATAGAACAATCAATTATTATTTATTCTCCATTTCAGACAACCTTTGAAAATATTCATTTAACTCAACAATCTTATCTATTGTTTTCATTTTTCCATTACACACTTTCATTAGTTCTATTAAACTTTGTTCATCTTCCAAATATCTTTTTATCAATTATTATTAAGTTAGGAATTATAGGAATATTAGTCATCTCTTCATAGTTTTTTTGTTATGTTGTTTTTCTTTATTACCTTTGTTTGTTGTTTATTAAGTCATTTAGAGTTATTATAACAAATATTCATTTCTCTTAGTAAATTTAACAAATATTCATTGTATTTGATTAGTTCCAGTGTTTTGGTCATTATTGGAATGTCATATATCACAAACCCATGGACCATCACATTGCCTTCTTTCTTGATTATTTGTTTTTATGTTTATCTTTCATTTGTTATTGATAAACATATTGTTAATGTGATTAATAACATCCAAACATTATCTGTTCAAGCTTTTCATGAATCTACATTAGCTCCATTCTGTGACAATGACAACGAAATCTTTATTCAAATCAAAACAGAGTCATAAATATATACATTGGAACTACTAATCTTTAATTTCTTATTTCTTTTTTAAAAATTGGTGTTTATTTCGTTGGTTATACTTTAATTCAAAAATTAATGAATTTAAGAATCTTCTTTTTTATAAAGAAGAACAAAAAAGACTGTTTATAAATAAATTTACTGGTCAAGTTCCTTCTCCGTTTCCTACACAAAATATTAAGTAACTGAAATTCTCCAATTTGAAAAGATGTTTCAGAAAACGCTTATTGTGGTTGCAATTTTTGGTGTCATATGTTGTTTGTCACAATGTTATGATGAATGTCCTTATTGTTTATGGGGGTTGTGTTATTCATGTACCCATGGATGTAATTATGGTTCATGGAAGGATAATACTTTTTGTTCATATTGTTATAGTTTGTCTTTTAATCTTTAATATTGATTAGTTAGTGACTGTTATTGATTTCAATAGAATGTAAAAGAGGATGTGAAGCATGTGATGAAGAATATCATTGTACAAAATGTAATTCTGGATATTGGTTAAGAAAGTATTCATTTGAAGTAAGTTTATGTGAAAAGTGTCCAACTGGATGTTTTGAATGTTCATCACCAACACAGTGTTCATCATGTTCTAAAGGATATTATTTAGACAATGGAATGTGTTATCGTTTGTTTCTTATTTTTTGGAATCAAACTTTGGAAACATCAAATTTTCAAAAATAAAAATTAATCTGTAGAATGTCCTATTGGTTGTAGTTCGTGTTCTGGTCCTGATTCTTGTATTACTTGTGAAAGAAATTATGGTATTGTTGTTTATAGTGGTTATAGTTGGTGTAGTCCATGTACAACAATTCGTTGTTCTTCATGCCAAGTTGGAACATATTTGTCAAATGGATTATGTTCTGGTTTGTTCGAATATTTTATTTGTAAAGTATATAAAAGAATAATACGGTATTAATTATTAGCATGTCCTAATGAATGTATGACATGCAATACTTTTAATGAATGTACTAGATGTAAAGATGGATATTACTTAGAGAATGGTAAATGTCTTCATTGTGCAAACAAACTGAAAGGATGTACTTCTTGTGATATTACTGGAAGTATTTGTTATGAGTGTACAACAAGGTACAGACTTTCACAAGGTTTATGTATAGGATGTCCTACTGAAAGTGGAGAAGGAGTTGATATGTGTAATAATAAAGGATGGCAAACTATCTGTCAATATGGTTATGCTGATCCATATGGTGGTTGTGAAAAGTGTAATGGAGGAGATGCATGTTTAACTTGTACTTATAAAGAAAATACATGTCAAAGTTGTAAGGATGGGTATTATTTAAATAGTAATAAATGTGATAAATGTGATGTTTTAGGATGTGCATGGTGTCAAGATGATCATACTTCATGTAAAAGATGTAAAGAAGGATACTTATTAAATAATAGTGCATGTATATCTTGTTCTGAACTAGAAGGATGTGAATATTGTAATAGTGAATGTAGAAGATGCTCAAAAGGATATGCATTTAATAGCAAACATCTTTGTACTAAATGTAATAACTGTAAAGAGTGTAATACACAAACATGTTTTGTATGTAACACTGGATATACCATTTCATCTGGTAATAATTGTGACTTATGTTCTAATGTATTTAGTCATTGTGCATCTTGTAAAACTACAGACCATTATTGTAATTCTTGTGAACCAGGATATGTTTTTTCTTCAATTAATAAAGATTGTGATTTATGTAATATTGTATTTCCTCATTGTTCTTCTTGTAGTCAAAATGACAAGGTATGTTTATACTGTGAAGATGGATATACACTAGTAAATGGTCAATGTGTTAAATGTGATAATGCAATAGTTAGTTGTTCAACTTGTAATAATGATAAAGCAAAATGTACATCATGTTTAGCTCCATTAGTATTGGCATCAGATTCATTAAGTTGTAAGAATTGTTCAAGTTATTTTGAACATTGTCTAGAATGTAGTCAAGTATCATATAAATGTGTTAATTGTGATTTAGGATATGTTTCTGTTAATGGTATTTGTACTCTATGTCAAGAAGGAGTTAGTGAATGTGTCAAACCAACAAACGGAAAATGTCCAATTGGAACATCACCATATAATGGATTTTGTTATGACTGTAAGAAAAAATTAAATAATTGTGATTTATGTTCTCAAACTGAATGGAAATGTCACACTTGTCAAAAAGGACTTCTAAATAAAAATGGTATTTGTTCCACTTGTGATATTACTGATTGTGTAACATGTTCAACAACAGAATATAAATGTGATCAATGTATTGATGAATATGTTCCATTAGGAAAAAAGTGTATAACATGTGGAAATGATCCAAATTGTTATAAATGTAATAATAATATGACTTGTTCATATTGTAAACTTGGATATAGTATTTATGAAGGTACTTGTATTTCATGTTCTGACACTAATGCTGGATGTGTTTCGCCAATAAAGGAAGGAAAATGTCAATACAACAATTTCCTTTATCAAAGTTATTGTTATGAGTGTTCTAAGTATAATCCTAATTGTCTAGTATGTTCTAATTCATCACCAAATTGTCTTGTATGTAAAAATGGATATGGATTAAAAGAAGATAAAACATGTGTAAAATGTGAGACTGGATGTTCTTTATGTTATAAAGTTGATTATTGTGAAAAATGTCAAGAAGGATATGTGTTGAGAAAAGGAAAATGTTATAAATTTGAGAGTGATAATTGTGATACTAATTGTTATAACTCAAGTATTGGATGTACTGCATGTTCAACAACTAAAATTGAAGAAGATTCAAATGGAATTTGTTTACAATGTTCAATTAGAAATTGTAAAGTTTGTGATTATAATTTAAAGTCTTGTATTGTTTGTGAGGATGGATATGTTTATGATTCATACACCAAACAATGTATTGTTAAACCAGGTGATTTGTGTGAAGTTTATAAATCTTCGTCATGCATTAAATGTAGAGATGGTTATGCAGTTGATTATATTAATAACAAGTGTATTAAATGTGGTAACAATTGTAAAACATGTAGTTATACTAATGGTCATTTCAAGTGCTTCTCATGTGATTCATCATTAAATTTGTACTTATTAAACTCACATTGTGTTTCTCCACAAAATGAGAAGTGTAATAGTGTTGGATTTGATAGTTGTAGATCATGTATTGATAATACAAAAGTAGTTAATGGAGAATGTAAAGAATGTCCATTACATTGTTTGAGATGTTCACGTGATGAATGTCTTCAATGTGATACATCAAGTATTCTTCGAGATGGTAAATGTATTGAAAATATGGATTGTTTAATTACAAATGAATATGGAAGTTGTTCTAAATGTATTTCAACAAAAGTATTGAATTCTGAGACTAGTAGTTGTGAACCATGTCCAGATAATTGTAAAGAATGTTTGTCTTCAACAAGTTGTAAAGAATGTATGAAGGGTTATGTTTTGTATAATCAAACTGATTGTATAAAATTAACAAACATAAAGTTAGAGTTGAAAAGATCAATGAATTCATTAATTCCTCATTGTAAAAAAGAAACAACTGTTGGATGTCAGCGTTGTGATAACAAGTATTACCTTACAAACACATTAATGTGTGAACATTGTATTGAAAATTGTGAACATTGTATTGATTCAACAACATGTCAGAAATGTTCTGCAGGATATATTTTAAATAATAGTGTATGTGTTAAACAAGGGAAAAAAGGATGTAAAATTATTACACAAAATGGGGAAAACTGTGCAATATGTGAAGATGGATATTTCTATAAAGATGGAATTTGTAAAAAATGTGATCCTTCTTGTTCGACATGTTCTAAAACAAGTTTGTTCTGTCTTCAATGTGCTGAAAATTTCTATTTTGTTTCTTCAAATATCTGTTATAACTATTCAACTATTGAATATTGTTTAGCAGCAAATGAAAATGGATGCATAGATTGTGAGAATGGAACATATTTAACAAATTATAAATGCCTCAAATGCAACCCACTTTGTTTGTTTTGTGAAGATGACAGTGGTGACTGTTTATCTTGTGTAAAGGATTATGTATTAATTAAAGGAAAGTGTGAGAAATATTCAAGTATAGAACATTGTATTGCAGAACATAATTCAAGATGTTCTCAGTGTGAAAGAGGTTATGAAATTTCTAGTAGTGGGGTGTCATGTGAAGAAAAGAGTAAGTGGTGGATTTCTCTGATAATATTAGGTGTTTTGTTGATTTTATTCATTATCACCATTCTTTCTATCTCATTCACTATCACTTTCTTAATAAATAGAAAAAAGAAAAAAGAACAAGAGAAAACAACATGTATATTTAATATGAAATATTCCAATATACAATTCTTTTTGTGTAAAACAATAAAAGGAATTGAATTAAACAAACAATGTATTGCATATGATGGTAATATCAAAGTGAATCAAGAAACTAAAGAATTAATTTGTGTTGGAAATGCTTCTAAACATTTAATAAAAATACAAATAACTCTTAAGGAAAATAATTACAAATTTGAAACCAGAACAAACCCACAATTAGTTAGTTTGAAGTCTGGACAAGCTTGTGAATTTGAAATATTTATTAAGCCGTTATGTAGTTGTAGCATGAAACATGAGATTGTTCTTCTTGCTTCTGATTTAAATAATGGAGTTCAGTATCAAGAAAATATCCCTTTGCAGTTTGAAACTGAGTTATCAACACGACTTGATCCAGATGAAATAAAGGAAGAAAAGAAAATAGGAGAAGGATCATTTGGAATTGTATATATAGGAGAATTTAGAGGGAATCAAGTAGCAATTAAGAAAATGAAACACCTTGGAGACAGTAAAATGAAAGAATTTGAGAAAGAAGTAATGATGTTAGATAAATTTAGAAGTGAATATATTATTCATTTTTATGGAGCAGTATTTATTCCTAATAAAATATGTATGATAACAGAATATGCAAAATATGGATCAATACAAGATTTAATTAATAAAAGAACAAACACAGAAATACCAAATAAAATAAGAATTAAATTCATGATAGATGGAGCAAAAGGAATAGAATATCTTCATTCAAATGGAATAATACATCGAGATATTAAACCAGATAATTTTCTTGTTGTATCAATTGATGAAAATCAACAAATTAATTGTAAACTAACAGATTTTGGAAGTTCAAGAAACATTAATATGATGATGACAAATATGACATTCACAAAAGGGATAGGAACACCAAAATACATGGCACCAGAAGTATTAAATCGAGAACATTATAAAATGGAATCAGATATATATTCATATGCAATAACAATGTTACAAATCATCACATGGAAAGATCCATTTCCTAAAACAGAATTTAAATTTCCATGGTCGATTGCCAACGCAACTGCACAAGGACAACGCCCTTCTCTTATAAATGAAGTTCAAGAACCAATTAAATCATTGATTATATCAGCCTGGTACCAAGAGTCTGCAAAAAGAATAAAAGCAAAAGAAATAATTTCTGGTTTAAAAGCTGTGTATTAAACTGAATTATTTTCTTTTTATTGTTTTCTATCGTTAGTTTTCAAAGACACTTTTTCAATTCAAAGAATATATCAAAATATATTATTATTGTTGTTGAATAATGTTCTTGAGTATTGCAAAGAAAAGTAAACAAAAAATAAATATGCAATGTGATATAGAAGAACGATGAAGAAGTAATAAAATGTAATAAGAATGGTAAAAGAAATACAATGAAAATTGAGTGAAAAGAGAATAAGAAATGAAAGGTGAATAAGAAAAAGATGAATAAATAGAAAGATAATAAAGATAATATCAATAAAAAACATGGAGTGATAACAAAAAATGAAATCAAAGTTAAAATATGAAATAAATAAAACACAACAAATCAAACAAATAGAATTTTAATTGATGTGTTGTATTGTTTTGCAATTAATTTGTTAAATAAGAAATTAAGAAATTAAGAAATGAAGAAATAGAAAATATAATAAAAGTAATAAATAATAATGTAAATAATGATAAAGAATACATTAATAATATTAAAATATCACATAGAATAAAATAAACAACTAAAATATATATTAAAATGAAAATGATTTCAATCATAGAAGATAAAGTAGAGTGTAATCCAATAATAAAAAACATTATCATAAAAAATAACTCTATTGATATTGATGATGAATATCTTAACTCTATCATCAATCAATTAAAATAAATGAAAATAAGTCAAATCATAATTTAGAATGAAAGATATAGAAATTATGATAATATCATCACATTAGATGATTTAAATTTAATTATGATGAAAATAATAACTATAAATCACCAGATATTGATATTATATATTTTATTAATTGAAAAGAATATCATTATCAAGAGAATGTATTTTAATATATTTAATGATTAGTTAAATTTTAATGAAATCACCAAATTAAATATAGTAAAATGAAGAACAATATTAATCAATAAATGAAGTAATATGAATGATGTTATTAATTATCATTATATCAATTGTATAAATATAATTATGAAAATATTAATATCATTATTAAAAGATAATATTCATAATAGAATTAATATGATTAATGAATCATTTAAAATTATTAAAAATCAATTATGATGTAAATTATAATCTCTTGATGATAATTAATAAATAATTATATATTAAATTATCAGAAATAAGATAAATACAAAAAATGCATAGAATCATATTATGATATTAATTAATTATATGAATCAATGAATCATGAATAAGTAATATAAATATTAAAATAATTTAATATAGAATGAATCAACATATATAATATATAAAATATGATGAATATAATCATATGATATAAATATAATAAATATAAATGATATTTTAAAATGATAAATTTTACATAGTGATTCATTATCAACTCTATTATCATCAAAATGAATACACATTCTCAATTCATTGAATAGAAGTTCAATAATATAAATTATATATTATATAATGATAAAATGAGAATAATGAAACAAAATAATGAAGGAATACGAATAGTTAACAAATAAATTAAATAAATAATAAATTAAATAAATAATAAATTAAATAAAGAAATGAATAAAAATAAAACATAAAATAAAGAATATCAATCAAATACTGTCTTGAATAGCAAATAGACAATAAATGAAAGAGATGAAATGTACAAATATTTAAATGTATGATAATCAGATGAAATTAATGATATATTCAATTATAAAATCATCAACGAATAAAATAAAAAATAAACTTATTATAGATAAATAACAATAATTTAAATATTATGATTTTATTATTAATTTTATTATATATTATTATTATTATTATTTAAAACAATAAAAATGAAATAACATTTATTAAAATAATAAATAAAATGAAGTGTTATAAATGTGTATTAATTATTATGAATCTTATTTTAATCTGATATAATTAAATTAAAATGGAAGAAGTGATGAATAATCAATTAATTAAAGAAGTAGTAGAAACACTTCCAAATATTTATCAATCAATTGATGATACTACTAAACAATATCAATATTATTTAGGAAGTATTAAAAATGAAATATTTAAAATAAAACCAGATGAAACATATTCAGAAACTATTAAAAGAGGAGAAGGAATATTTGATAGGATTGATGAAACAGAAAGAAGAAGAAAACTAATAATAGAAAAAAGTCAAGAAACAATTAATCAAATAGAAATAATAAAGAATCAAATGAAGAGAATAATAGAAGAAAGTAATAAAGATTCTGAAATACTAAGTAAAACACGGAATGAAATAATAGATAAAATCATTTCAATTGAAGAAATGGTGATGAAAGATAAAATATTCAGAACACCAGAAGAAAAAGACAAAATCACCCAATCATTTAACAAAAAGAAAGAAGAATGGAACACATATTATAGTGATTATTTAGAGAGGAAGAAGAAAAAAGAAGAAGAAGAAAGAAAGAAACAAGAAGAAGAAATGAAGAGAAAAGAGGAAGAAGAGAGAATGAGAAAAGAAGAAGAAAGAAAGAAACAAGAAGGAGAAAGATTAAGAATAATGAAAGGAATGAATACAATTGAAGAAATGAAACAAATAGAAAAATGGACAAATAGAAAAGTATCTAATATATTATTTGATTCAGACATTGATAAATGGAATATTAATACATCAGTATTTAATCAAAGAATAATAAATAAAGAACATATAATAATTATTATTGAAGATACAAATGGAAATAAATTTGGAGGAATGTTAATGTGAAAATTGATAAAGTTAATCATTGTATAAATGATCCAAAATCATTTTTATTTTCATTAAAATCAAAAAGAAGAATACAAGGAATGAAGAAATTTGATATTAAAGATCAACAATACGCATTTTGTTTATTTAATCAATCAAGTAATTATTTGTTTGCATTTGGATTGGATAATGATATCTATGTTTATAAAGAAAATAATAAAACATTATCATGGTGTAAACAATCTTCATTTTCATATAAAGGAATATCAAATGTACTTTGTGGAAAACAATATCCAGAACGTTTCACACTACAACGAATCATTGTAATTGAAATGAAATGATTTTTATTCATTATTATTTATTTGAAAACTAAAAAAATAAAAAAGAATATAAAATAAAATTAATAAATGAATATGAATATTTCATCTACCAATAAATGAAATGATGAATATAAAAATGGTCATATTTCATTCTTGTTTCATTTGAAATAATAATATTCAATGTGTTAATTTAATAAATAATAAAAAGAAATAAGAATAAAAGATAAATAAAAATATAATAAAATATTTATTTTATTCTTTTTTATTTATTTTTTATTTTATTTATATTATTTTATATTTATTTATTTTATTCTTCTTCTTTTATCTTTATATCTATTATATATTTCTTATTTTATTATTTATGTTATATTCTTATATCATTTTATTCTTATTTTATATTTATTCATTATTATTTATTTCATATTAACATTGTTAAATATCAATACAACATATAATAAATAAATAATATAAGATAAACAACAATAAATAATAATAATAAAATATAAACAAACAATATAAACAAATATAAAATGATAAAATATCATCAAATATAAAATAATAGTAACAAGAATAAAAATAAGAAATAAATGATATTTAGAAAAGAAAAAATTTACAAAAAGAATAAATGAATGATGATATTCAAAGATAAAATCAATATAAAATAAAATAAAAATCAAATATAATAATAAGAATAAGAATGATTATATCTTATTTTATTATTATAATATTCTTTATGATTCCAATGTAGTATGTCAGATACACAACACAAATTACTAATATTTCCATGTTTTGAATCTTTTAATAACCTAGTTATCATCTGGTTATGATGTTCCTATGGTGAGATAACATCCACACAACACTAATTAGTTATTTTTATCATGACTAATTATTATGGAAGTATTATCAATAATGATTATTATTTATAATGATTATTATTTATTATTATTTATTAATGATTATTATTTATTATGATATAAGATTATTTATTTATGGTCACGAAATTATGCATTTTATTCGTATTCATCTTTATATTATTATAATGATTTGTGAATTTGTTCGTTATTTCAGAATTGTTGTATAAATGTAATGAATGTATTCATTGTTTGTTTAAAACATGGTGTTTATGTTTGATAGATCATTGAAATGAATTATCATGTTGCAAATTAATTCTTGTTAAATGTTTAAAAGGTAAAAAATAGTAGATAATACAATTAGATGCAAATATTTGTGATTAAATATGAGAAGAACATATTTGTACATTATTAGTTCTATCTTTCTAATTCGATTTCTGTATTAAATGAATATATCTGTTGATGGAATTGAAATAAAATAAATATAAAATGATAAATGATAAATGAAAGAATAAAGAAAATAATAAGAAAATAAATATAATGATTAATGATAAATTAATGAGTTATTATCATGAATGAAAGTTGAAGATGAACATTAAATTCATTATTATTATTTATAAATGTTTAATTTATAATACATATTAAATAGTCATTCTTCATTCTGTATTATTGTGTTGATGTTTAAATTATTCAATTTGTTATTATTATATCACATTTCATTGACATTTGTTATTTATTATCTTTTTATTTATTTCATCATTTAATTCTTGTTTGATATGATAATATAAATAATTTACATTGTATATTATCATCATTCATCATTGATAATCATCTGTGATATAATGTAATTTTCATATTAATAAATATATCATTTAAATAAATAAATAATAACATCTATTAACATATCATTATGATATCTCATCAGTATGATAAATGAAATGTAACATATTTACACATTAATAACAATAAAATGGATATTCATATTTATATAATCATTGTTATTTATAACTAACATTATAAATTTAAATTAACATAGTGCTCTTCTTTATTACATTTCATAATGATATTTTCACATTAAAATAGAATTGATGGTAAATGAAATGAAATAAAGAATAATATAA